TCAATCTTGAGAGAACAATCTAACTTGTCACCATCAGAACAATTGCCAAGCAGCCAGGATTGTTATATTCAACTTCCGCTTTTTATATTTTCTGTTTTCCTTACTCGCTTTTTTAAAAGATGTTCTCAGCTACTCGTTGATGTGTCTAATCCTAATAATTTTTAAATTTTGTAGAACAAATGAATCAGCTATCTGTGAAGGTCGTGGAGTGTGCAACTGTGGTCGTTGTGAATGCAACCCTCGTCAGGTATGATAACCATTTCCCATACGATCTGTTATGCAACGATGAATAAAAATCTATGACTAATGCGGCTTCCGACGAATGTGTTTTTTTTAGAACCCCGAAGAACAGATTTCTGGGGAATTCTGTGAATGCGATAACTTTAACTGCCCTCGACATGACCGCAAAATATGTGCAGAACACGGAGAGTGCAATTGTGGGCAGTGCATATGCGCTCCTGGATGGACAGGTAAAGGCTTATTAGACTTCTAAACCTTCCTCTTTTTCCAAATCTGGATCGTCACGAGTAAGTGAGTCTTTTAGGACGTGCTTGCGAATGCCCCATCAGTCAAGAATCTTGCATGAGCGCTAATGGGAAAATCTGCAACGGTAAAGGAGAATGTATTTGTGGTCGATGCCGATGCTTTGATGGTCCGGATGGTAATAGATATTCCGGAGCAAAGTGCGAGATTTGCCCTGTAAGTTGCATTCAAAAATTTGTACTTTTATTTATCGAATAATTTTCATCCATACAGACTTGCCCTACAAAATGTATTGAGTACAAGCCATGTGTTATGTGCCAGCAATGGGGAACTGGTCCATATGACGAGGAACGATGCGCAGAGTGCCCCTTCAAAGTAATTCCCGTAGAAGAGTTACCAGGTGTGTTAACCTAACAATGACCACATGCTGATATTGTTGTTCCCGTTTGTGGTGTGAACCTAGTGTATTGAATGATTTCCAGAGTTGAACGAGACAACAGCCTGCCAGTATGTTGATCCAGCTGATGACTGTACTTTTTATTATCTTTACTACTACGATGAAGCTACTGACAATGCTACAGTTTGGGTTCGTGAACATAAGGGTGAGTATTTGAATCAACAAGTATAGTTCTCGGACGCCAACGTCGGCTAAAATCCTGTTGTTCACAAAGTGTTCGTCATTTTCCCTCCTCGAACTTGAGTATGTCATCATTTGTTTACAGATTGTCCTCCTCCTGTCCCTGTGCTAGCAATAGTGTTAGGAGTGATTGCTGGCATAGTAATTCTCGGTATCATTCTTCTCCTTGTCTGGAAGCTACTTACAGTCCTTCATGATCGAGCAGAATATGCCAAATTCAATAACGAACGGCTTATGGCAAAGTGGGATACGGTGAGGATGATTTATCCGTCGTGAATAACACTACTACGTCGTAACCCTCTTAAAGACTATTTTTGGCAGCTGATTAATGCATTTGTTTACAGAATGAAAATCCCATCTACAAGCAGGCCACCACCACGTTCAGAAACCCAGTTTATGCTGGGGCCAAAAACAAAGGATTATAACTTCATTCTGTTATACTGCCTGTTCCTCTTACTTGCATAACTTTCAACGATGTCATCTAATACCGTCTATCTTCGTCAATCCATGGTTGCTCATCGTTTTATGCCTTCTTGTAATCAACTCATCATCCTAAATGCTTTCAATGAGATTATTCAATCGACTAATTATTCAAACAGTCATTATTCATCGCCTTTCCTTAATTCTCCGCTTACACGGTTATTTGTTGGAATAACTTTTTCAAGTCACATCTTCTCTAAAATTATTTTTAAGACCGTTGTTAGCGCCATTTCTTGCTTCATTAGGTCCAACTGTTCAGGAAGGATTTCTCTGCTTGCATAGTTGTGAAATTTGGAAGAAGTCTGCATTTCATAGCTCTATAGTTATATCACATTTGATGTGTCAAGGTGCTTTAAGCGGATTGTCTAAGATTACACGAACTCATAATCTGCTAATATGTTCCATTTTGTAAGTCCATATATGTACAGATAAACAGTTATCATTAAATTATAGGAGACTTTGTGGTTTTAACCAATGTATACCGAAGGAAGTATTCGGTATTACGCTTCCCATTCTACTTTCGACAAAGTCATTCCTGCTCATAGGGGGAGTTTTAGTACAATGCGTCCTCGATGTGACTGTAGGGGTCTTTTGGTAAATTCAAGCAATGAATTTCTTCTATACCCTATTGCCACTTAGCCCCAATTTAGCGCGATTTCACCTGGGTGGTTTTCGGCACAATAAGAGTGCA